CCCCCCCCCCCCCCCCCCCTCTCATCCCTTCCCAGAGGAGAACCTGGTCAGGCTTCAGCCCGGCGTGCTCTTATTCGGGATCGATCGTGCTCGTATCAAAACTGTACAGAAACTACATAGTCTAGCCTCATGGTAGAGTGCGCAGTGCGCATTGCAGGAGCTGTGGTGTACATCGGATGGGATACCCCTCCGAAACGCCACCTCCGCGTACGGTTGAACAATACAGATGATGTCGGGATTAACAACATGTTTGCCGACCTCACCTCATCTCTTTGGAGACCCGCTCCACCTCTCCGGGTCTAGACAGCTTTTTTACTATCTCCGGAGAGAGAGTTTGCTCTTGCTGCTCCTGTTGCTCAGCGGATGCTTCCTTCGGGATTACGGCAGCGGTGGACTGCGCCATGCTGCCCTCCTTGTGGAACGTGTCTAGGTCCTGCGTATTGTTCATTTGTTGTTTCCACGAAAAATCGTGCGGCGGTGGAGGGGGGCAGCTTGGATCTCAATGAGTTGGCTACGTTAACCACCCCTCCCCCTATAGTAAGAGTGCTGTTATTTAGTCGGGTGTTTCATACCCATCCACGAGAGAGGGAGCACACATCCTCAACGCCCGGCACACGTGCCAATTGATACATTACAGGCTTGGAAAGCGGCTATACAGAGAGCAAACTGAGTGTCCATACAAACAAGTAGATTCCCGCCGACACTTTAGTTGGATGCGCGTGGGTTTTCGAGAAGATGCGGTCGGGCGAGAAGCATGACAACATCGCTGGTCCACACATTCCAGGGTGTGATGCTCGCCTTCATGTAGCTATCTAAGCGATTGACCTCGCTCCGAATCTTCTCCAGTGCTCTGACGAGCTTTGCCGCCTCGACATTTGCAGGTCTTGCAGCGCTTCCTGCTTGGTGTATTGCGAGTGAAATAAACAGGGAACGAGGAGCGAGTGTGATCTTCTTGGGCATCTGTGCTCTAGCCAAACATGTCACGGTATCTTGACTATGGCTGGCGGTCTGGCGGTCTTGAGTTTCACAGCTCCCACGGCATCAAGTTCGCACGATATGATCGGTTACATACACAAGTCTTCCCCGAACGTGCAAAGCGCTCCATCAAGTATCTCTTGTCACCTCCAGACCCTCGTGCCCCTGTGGGCGTGTGCGCTGGCGCTCCACCGGCCGGCAGGTCGGCTGCAGCGTTCTCAACGCCGGCTGGCTCTTGGGTGATGCCATCGGCTGGTGTTGTGTCCGAGACATATTGCAGTTCTTCCAACATGACCAGGACCTCGGCCTTGATGGGGTCTGAATATCGAGCCCATGATGACAAGAGCCAGCTTCTCATGGCGCGATTACTGAATGTAGGAGGCATCTGCTGCTCCCGCCTTGCCCCACTGGCGTCCCACAGCAATACAGGGCTTGACAGTAGAGCCGTCTTTGTGGACTCACGGTGAGACATGGCCTTGTTCTGTACGACGGTGGTCACAGAAAGAGGGGCAAGGGACGCGAGCGAGGGAAGAAGGACCATTGTTTAGAAAGCACACCATGTGAAGGATCTAGTGACTCGAGCGTCATCGAGCGAGAGGGCGCATGCCCTGGCGAGAGCCGGGTGTCGTTGTGGGTTGGCTTGGCATGCAGCAGTTATGCAGGAACGAGCTCACTGCAACCACGAACAGAGGGAATCGGACAACTCTATTATCTCTTCGGAGAAGCTCGTCTTCGCGAAAGTGCACCCAAGGCGGGTGTCTCCCCTACGTCAAGGGCGCAAAGGCTCCTCGTCCGAGACGTTGTACGCACGATGACGAGGCGTCTTGCGGTAGCAAGCCTATTTGCCAAACGATGGTCTGCTTTTTACGCTGTCATACGCCTCGGGCCCAAGCAACAACACGACTCTGTTCTCCATCAATGGACGCGATCCAAAACCGAGCAGATTTGCCAGAACCCCTCACTGATATCCTAGCAAACCTGCTTGACGGGGTACCTTACATGTTACAATGTCCATCCCAGATGCGACAACCCTTTTATCGGAAAAAAGCCATGTCTGTTCAGGTCAAAACCGCGTCCATTCCGGAAAGGACCCATTTAGACTATGGTCCAAAACCCCTCCGAATGAAAGGCACGTTCCTACCTACATATCTGCTCTCATCCGGAGAGAGCAGTCACCCCCACCCCCCAAAGGCCTCTTGGCTGGAAAGGAAATATATTCACCCGTCCAGAAAACAGATCGTACCTCAGGCCGACGAGACAAACTTGAAGCCACCATGAAGGCGTCGACGTAAACCAGGTCCGCAACCCCCCTCGGAGGAGCCGATCTGCTCATATTTTCTAGCCGCGTCGTCACTACGCGGAAACCGTCAACTGACACTAAGGGAGAAGGACTGACAGCTTGAGCAGCGTCATTTCCAGCTGCTGCCGAGGCAGCAGAGGAAGGGGCAGGGGCGACCTGACCGAGGGCACGGTCAACCAGGCTTATCCGGTGTTGCCGTACAACCTGAGACATGGCCAAATTTTGAGAGTGAAAGAGGTCAACGTCCCGGGCGGGCGGAGGGAAGGAACAACGCGGCAGTCGCTTTCGCACTACGCCATCCTGCATGTGCACTCGAACGAATTGCTCCAGCATATTCTGAACTTTCGGAGTTTCTATCGCATGGTGCAGCCACCTCTGGTATCACCCACCGACCAGTGTCGCATGAAGAGCCACAGAGCGTCGTCCACATCCACCCTCTTTTCTCGCCCCCCAGTTATTGCTGGGTGCCCCATCAGCTTTCCTAAGGACATCTGCACTCCCGACACACGAGCCCTAGCGGGAGCCCCGCCTCCGCCCCCACTCCCGCCCCCACTCCCGCCCCCACCCCCTGGACCCTTTTCAACCGGCGGTGGTTGGGAGCACTTATCAAAGAGCTCTTTCGCAACAGCCTCGGTTACCGCCGGGCTCTCGTGCCAGTACTGGCGACCGGTCCTGGGATCCTGCAGGGTCACGGGAAAGAGCTCCTTAATGGGTTTGGGGCCGTCTCCCATCATCGCGGTCACGTCCAGCCCCCCTAGGGCAGAACCTTCGCCGGCATCGCTCCCCGCAATCCCGCTTCCGGTGGTACCCATGCTTGCCAGGATTCTGGTCGATAACGGTACAATAGACTGGATGTGAAGGTTCTGGGGGCGGAGCAATCGCTGGTGACACTGGCAAGTTGAACATATGACGGGGTGGGGCACAAGCCTCCCATAAACGAGTTTTGCGTTGTAAGAGGGGGAAGCGATTCATTCACCACAAGCACACATTTTGCACGTACTGCAGCAGGGCCGACAGAACAGCAGTTTGGTGCTTCACGCTGTAAGCCGAAGAAGAGAGCACGCAACTTCTTCACAGACACCCAGCCAGCAAGGGGTGATACGCATTGCGCCGCTCCCGGGAACATCAGATTGGTGGGTACTTAAGTGCAGATGACTCCCCTAGGGCGCTTACTTCTTTAGCCCGTCGTGATGACCATCGGCATTTTCGCCGCCTTCGCCGACAGGAGCAGCACCCTCACCGCCCACCGGCAAACCACCCGCCGCCAACGACTCGTCCCTGACTCGATGGAACGTTTCCACTGCCCGCAGATAAAACGCCAGGGCTTCCTCGTTTTGCAGCTCCACGTCCTCCTCGAAGGAGTGACCAGATTCCTCACGGGCAAGGCACCCCGAAAAACACCCAAAAAGCCGAAGTCTCGACAGCGATGGCGCCAAGGACCGAACGTTGAAATACAGGTCATGCGCCGCGCGCTCTGCGAGCTCGGGAGTGCCCCACTGTCTGAGGATATGGTCGAACGTCACCCAAAAAAGAGGACGATGCGCCGGGCCGGATGATGTGCCGCGGATCGGAAGGCCATGACGCTTGACCTGCGAGTCCGCCCTTAAGAGGAAACGACGGTCGGGGGTCGGGGGTCGGGGGGGGGCGTGTGCTCATAGTCGTGCATGCCGTAGTCGTTAGACCATTGACCTCGCATCCCTACAAAGCCGGGACGGAGCACGCCGGGTTCTCACCGGACCAGGCTCTCACATCACCAAGCGCGAAGCGCCGTGAGATATTCGGCGAGTCGCATGAAGNNGCATCTTTGTGCTTACTTCCTTGCTACGGATGACAGCTGCGTATGACTTAATTTACTTTCTGAGACAGTTGTAAGCACTAACAGTT